ACAGATTCTGGCCCGTGTGGAAACAGCACATGCACTTCACTTCCGGGTTACACTACGCAGTATTGTGAGGAGGAAGTGGATATTGAAAGTCAAGGCACCTTCCTTTCTCCATTTCTCTCTTTCTCCCTTTCTTCCTTCCTTTCTTTCTTTTCCAAATTCAAGGTACTTTAAAGGAGCTTAAACGAAGGTTTATCACCATCATTCACTTGCCTGTACTTAGGTCCTTTCCAGTTGCCTGACTTTCTTACTCTTTGCTTCTTATCTGATCCGATCCGTGCCTCCCAAAACACAGTTATCCGCTTTTCACCACATCTGTTGGTGTCAGTTCTCCTCCCACGTTTGGCTGATTTTGGGGGGGACCCAACAAGTGATAGTGCAAGTGCTGGAGTGTGAGTGTAGGGAGGAACTCTCACCCCAAACACCCACACATCACCCCACACGCACGCCCACAGACTCTCACGCGTGTTGGTTTGTTAGGCCAATACGTAGGTTGGGAGATCGATACGTGACCAGCACATCATCCTTACGGTAGTACACAGATTGTGTACAAGTAATTTCCCAGAGTTAGCATTTGGAGTGGACAAATGGTCATAAAGTGATGGAAAGTGGACAGGCACGTCCTAAGGTGACTGTCAAGAGGTACAAAACTCTCTGGCTCAACTGCAGCCTGGACTTTTGCCACGAGTTTATGCCGGCCCTTTCCTTGGTACCCAAGGCGTTTGAGATGCACTCAGTGCTTCCTCCTGAGTGGATTCGGAGCTTTCCCTCTCTTGTCTGTATGACAGTGGGAATCACCACACTGAATCTTTACAGGCTCAGAGTTACATCTGTGGATTTTCCCTTCCTTGGTTTGGCACCGCGTGCGATCAGCTCCATGTGGCCTTAATAACATCTTTCATTCTTGCTACTGCTTTTTACTTGATTGTTCAGAAGATGGACAAAAGATTTCCAGACTCATTTTGTTCCTTTATTTATTAAATGCACATTTGGGAAAAACTGTGCTTGTCTTGTTTCATTTTTTGCGTTATCCCTGGAGGGTTACAGAGCACATCTTTGATGAATGTCACACCTAGACTTCCCAAGAGTCCTTAGAGAAGGGTAGAAAATCTTTGAGAATTAAATATGATAAACAACAAAAAGCACCTAGCACCGGGCCCTGGCACGGAGTAAACATTCATCAGATGTTGCTGTGAGCACAATTATTGACCCATAAAAACTGAAGAGAAACCACAAGTCAGAGAAGCTAAGTCACTTGCTAAGGTTGCACAGTGGAATGGTAGAATTGAGTTAAGAATCCAAGCTTCCAGGCTCCGGATGGTTGCAAGAAATTCTCCTTTGAGTGTGCAGTCTTGGAAGGAAAAGGAAGAGCCCCCAGAGGAAGAGGAGCACGACAGGTTTCACGGTGGGTGAGTTGGCAGAAATGTTCGGGGACAAAGCCCAGCTCAGGGGACAGGGTGAGGCCCAGCCATACACCACAGCGGCGGTATTATTCATTTCTGGTTCCTCAAATGCTCTGCCTCCTCGGCACCTTCACAGGTAAGGTTCTCCTCTCTCATACCTGTCTTCTCCCGATTCCCCACCTCTCCCTCTGAATAACGCTCATGGCTGTGAGTTTAACCCCAACACCTCTTCTTCGAGGACACTGTCCCGGCGCCCGTGAGCCTCCATCCACACCGACTGACTCGCCACGCTCGGGGCCTCTCTTTCCAAGCTTCCTGCAGACACGTGAAAGGTGGCTGACAAGGACGTGCTTCTCCCAAACCTCCTCTTGTTTAGTCTGCTGCCCCTTTGCTAGGAAGAGGTGCCGGAGCCCTGCTGGCCCGCGGAGTCGGGCCACTGGAGCGGTCCAAGAGCAGAGCCATAAACACTGACAGAGGAGAGAGGGAGGAGGAGTTTCCACCAGGATGATGCATCTCTGACTCTTCTCCCCGGACAGCCAAGGGTGCCGGTGCTGGGTCTTAGGGCAGGAAGCAGCCGCCCTTGGGGAGTCAGAACCGTGTCGTTAGGTGAGAACAACTCTGGCTCCCCACGTGAGGCTCTGTTCTGTCGGCAGCTTGGGCAGTGACGCCTGGGTGATTTCCCTTGCGCTTCCTCCTGGTTAGGGCAGTGCCGAGGGAGGAGGAGATGCCCAAGCTCCAACAGGGGCCATCTTGTTTACATTCCCACTCCCTCGCTCTGGGAAGCCCCGAGTTCCCACACTCACTGAGGCAGGAAGGTCACCACGGACATCTCATCCGTCTGGACTGTTGACTGACTACAGATAAGCAGCAGCTGCCGCCTCCAAGTTCGGATCACCTTCCAGACTGCCCACTCCGGCCCCGGAGGGGAGAAGCCCGAGTCCTCACCCTTGGGCACAGGAGGCTCCCCAGAGCCCAGTGGGGTCCAGTGTGCGTGTGGAGACCACATGGGGTCCGGGAGAACCTGCATTTGCAGGAGAAGCGGGACATGGCCAAGGAACTGAGAGGTGCTAGCCAGGCTTTCCTCACAGCCCCCGGAGAGAGCATTACTTTTCCAACCTTGCAGTTCTGTGGCGCTTTGCTGCATGCATTTTCTCACACGACCCTGACCACCATCCGTGAAGATCGCAGAGCAGGTGTGCTTGGTGTCCATTTCGCAGATGAGTAAACAGCCTCCGGATGTTTGAGAGACTTGCTCAGATTTGCACAGCTAGTTAATGGTAAAGGTCGGGTTTTCTGCCCCCTGTTTAGCAGGTCTTTCCATTAACCCCCTGTGAGCGCATCAAGCCAAGGAATGCGCCCTGATTTTTCACCCACGAAAGCGATTGCTTTCTCCCAGGTTTAGCCTGTTCCCTATCAAAGCCTGGGCTGTAGGGAGAAATGTTTAGGCTTAGTGCTTGAATCCGGACTCTTCCTCCTCCTCCTAGCCAAACCTTTTAGCTGTTCCATGATCTCAGGCTTGATCTTCCTGAGTGCTTGCTTGTACGTGCAGAAAATGCGGGTGACAAGGCCCGGCATGCCATTGCATTGTTGTGAGGGTTAAAAACGACAGCAAGCATCTACTGACTGTTTTCCACAGCCTGCTCTCAGTTTTAAGCACCTTGTGAGCATTAATTTGTCGAATCCTCACAACAACCTTACGTTCTCCCACATACGCCGTCATCATTTTATTGCACAGACAGAAAAGAGAGAGGCAGAGAGATTGATCCCAGGTTACACAGTGAGCAAACGGCAGAGTCGGGATTCCAACCCAGGCGGACTCCAGAGACAAGCCCCTGATCTCCATGCTACCTAAACCGGCTGTGTGCTTTGGATCTGCTCTGTCCTATTAGGTACTTAATCAACAGCTGCTACGCAGAACTGGAACAGGGTTGGGTTAATTTAGAAGCAAAGTGAGCGGCTCATTCCCTGGACCAAACCAAAAGGCAGGCCTATTCAAAGATATCTTCCATTTACTGTGGCAGGGAATCGAATTGCTTACCACTAGCTCTGTTCCTCTGGGGCAGGAAGTCACCCTCGGACTATTGCCAGTGATTGGAGGCATTTTTGGTTGTCACAGCAGTGAGGGTGCTACTGGCACCTACTGGGTCAGGCCAGGGTGCTGCTCAACATCTTACGATGCCCAGGACCGTCCCTCAACCAAGAATCATCTGACCCAAAATGGTAAGATCTTAAAATTGCTTTAATACTGAGTACGTAGTAGTGAGGGGAGACTTCCATCTTGAGGAGCACTGTGTGTTTTTGTTGTTGTTGTTGCTCTGTTTTGCTTTGCTTTGTAGGAACGAGGAAGCTTTACTTGGCCTCCTGCTTGCCAGGCAGGAGCTATGCCACTGAGCTACGTCCCCGGCCCGAGGGGCACTATTGATACTGAACTTTGCCACAGAGGATGGCAAAGCCAGGCCCTGTTTAACACTGCTCTGTGGATACCTCTGTTCAGTTCAATATGTGCGAGCATTTGTTTTACTGACGCAGCGGCTGTTGTTACCAAGCAAGGAGCTGTGTGCCCTAGAAATGGCCTGGCTGAGTCTGGGCTTGTGGTAGGGTTACCAAACAGAAGCTGCTTTTCTGTCAAATTTTGTTCCATGCCCCAAACTGCTGACATTTCTTTCAATATGTTGAAGTAGGTCATAAGCTCACAGCGGTGCCGTTTCCTTCCCACATGCAACTCTGAATCCCTGATATCTTTCTGATCAGTCCGCCTTTTTTTCCCTCCTATTATATGCACCAGACAGATTTCTGAAGTTTGATTTTTCTTGTCCCCTTTGGAAACTCAAATCTTCAAATTGGTGAAAATTTATTTTGCCAAACAGAACTCTTTAAAATATAAATTTTATTTTATTTTATCCCATTCCCCTCCAAGGTCCCTCCCCTCTCCGTGTACAAAGGCTTTGCTTCCAGTTTTTCCTTCTATTTTCACTTTTTTTCTTGTCCCTTCCTTCCTCTCTCCCTCCTTCTTCCATGTTCCCCTTCCCATTTGAACACTTTCTTCCCGTTTCCCAACGTCCATTATACACCTCAGTCCTTGTTTCCACATTCAGTTTCCCACACCAGAGAAACATCATGCTATTTAAACATGTGTGTCTGATTTATTTCATATAAGAGTAAGGTCTCAGGTGCATCCATTTAGCTATAAATCTCTGAAGCTCATCCTTCTTTGTGGCAGAGTAGTACTCCATTGTATTTACACACACACACACACACACACACACACACATCTTCTTTACCCACTCATCAGTTGATGTTTGCTGAACAGAACTTTCACCAGAAGAACAATCTTGGTTCCTTCACATGTGTGAAGTATCTGTGATATGTGATTCCTGGCAACACGTGGAGCTTTCTTCCTTTGTCAGAGAACACTGCCTTGCATCATCGTGGCTTGCTGATTTCCATAATACTGTGCATTTGCTCGAGGTCTCCATAGCTAACCCTGAAAGAAGTTGTATCAGTCAGTTTTTAACTGGGTTGCAATGGAGTAACAAACAGGCCCCCCTATTTTCAAAGAGATTCACCTTTTGTTCTTCTTGTGTACATTGTGAACTGGCTGCTATTTCATGCGGTTGTGATTCAGACCCAAGGAATGGGACCTGTTTGGGACATGGAGGTGTCCTGGTGGAGGAAAAGAGCAGAAGTGGACAGAGCAGATGGCTCTTCGGTTCTGTTTGGAATGGGCACATATCACACATGCTCACACTCGATTAGCCAGTGGAAGTCAATGGCCAAGGCAAATTTCAAATTCCTTTTATAAGCCCCGCATGCAGAGGGAGCAAATATTCCATACAACAGTATAGTCTGTTTCAAGGAGTGTATCTTTGCCACCAAAAGTCATGACCCTCAGAGCCAGGGACTTGTCCTTGAATCGTTACCTTTTCAAGAAGTTTTCGTCAAGACACAAAGGAACACTCTACAGAGAAAGAGTTAAAGAGGGAAAATTGTTGGGTTCTGTTGAGTGGTTTGATGAGCAGCAGGGTGGGTGCTAAAAAAGTCCCGCAAAAAACAGAAGTTCAGGGGCAGCTTTGAAGACCCCAGCTTGGGCCATTGATGAATGAGAGCGGCTACAATTGAGGTAGGGAGCAGAAGAGGAGAGGGAGTTTAGAGGGAGAAAGGCATGCTTACTTTTGACCCCATGGGTATGAGATATCTTGGGAACATTTTGTCTTGGAAAAGGCGACCGACTGCTGGATATGTAAATAAAGCTGATGAGAGAGTGCTGATCCGGGAACAAAGACGTGAGGTCCCACAGCATTTCAGCAGCAACAAGAGCTATGCAGGTCACATCTGTGGAGCATTTACATACGCCAGGCACCGTTTGATAAGCACATTTTCTTACTTAGTTCTCTCAGTAACCCTATAAACAAGTTGGCATTATTCTCATTTGACAGGTGAAGAAATGAAGCCTAGAGAAGTCTAAAAAGAAAAAAGAAAAAAAGGCCTATATCTCACACTTAGGAAGTTCTTTGCCTCCACAACCCACATTGTAACTACTTCTGCTGCTGTTAGTGGGGCTATCAAGCAAAGGAGGCACCGTGGATAGAAAGGAAAGAGAAGAGCTTGGGACAGGGCTTTCAATATTCATATGAAGAATCTGAGGAAGAAGAGGAAAAGCAACTTTGAAGAAGACAAAGGAAGACCTCAGAGTGTATCGCCCTCCGAAGTCAGGTGTGCGGCGTGGTCTCCCAAGCCAGGGACACTGGGGTGCTCCGAGGGTGCAGCTGGAAAATGTGCACTGGTGTGAACAGATAGGTCCTGTGACAACAAGTGTCTCTGATCTCGGGGGGCCTGGGCCACAGAGATGGCTCTCGCATGCCGGCCTGCACACATCATCTTGTTGCTGCTTCATTCACATTCTTTGAATTCTGCTTTGAGACTGCTTTGATGTTTTATTTGTATGGCTTTATCGTGTGTGTGTGTATGTGTGTGTGTGTGACACTAGGGATTGAACACGAGGCCTTGTCACTGAGCTATGTCCTCAGCCCTTTAATTTTTATATTTCTACTTTGAGACAGGGTCTCACCAAGTTGTTAAGCTGCCTGGGCTGGGCTTGAACTTGTGATCCTCCTGCCTCTGCCTTCCAGAGGGCTGGGATTGCAGGCATGGGCCACCACACCTACCACACCTGGCAGAGATTGCCTCCATGTTTTCACCTGCTTACTCAGGCCTTTGTTCTTGGGTCTGTTGGCCTGGCTTTTCGACTCCGTTCGTGTGGATATTTATCCTGGGTTCTGAACTGTTCTTTTAGTTTAGGAAACCCAGATTTACACCTCATTCTTAACCTTGGTTACTATGAACCTTCACCTTGAAAGAGGGAGGTTACCCACGGTACCTCCACCTGCCAGGCTGTTATCTCCAGCATCTCTCTGCGACTCAGCCTCAGAATGGGGCGCTGTGGCCTCAGGTGGTGCTTGTTACAGCTGTTCCACGTGGGAGACAAGTTGCTGCCGAAGGGGCCGCTGGTGTGAGGCCATGGCTTTCTGGTCGGGCCACGTCCATCCTTACAATGCCCAACGTCAAGCACAAGCTCTCTGCCTACAGCCTCTGCCCAGTCACCACGCTTTTAAATCCAGCTCCTAAGTCCGAGGTTTACATTTGGGGTGGGAGGACATTTATGTCAATGAGACTTCTGGGTGCTGCTGGAAAAGGTGAGTGCTGGGGAGTAGCCCAATCCTGCCCGGAAGCCTGCACTGGGGACACCACCGAGCCTCTCAGAACCCTGACAGACCAACGGGCAAGAGCTCTTGCTATGTGCAGTTGGCCACTCTTCACCCCAGCGTGAGAGGAGACGGATACCCAGCCCTGCCACACGCTTAGCAACCTGACCGGAATGAACTGGGATTGTGGGACCCTGCCAAGTGAGGCACCAGCATCCTCGGCTGCTCTGCCTTTGTGTTCGGTTAGAGGCTGTGCCTTTTTGTGGTGCCCTCCCCACCACGGCCCGGTGGCCACACGCCCGGCAAGTGTTACTAGATTTAGAAAATAAAAACACAAGACTCCAGTTCAGGTTTTCCTAGCTTCCCATTTTCATTAGTATATGTTTCTAATGATTACATTCATTTTGGGGAATTGCTACATATACATATTGTATCTGAATCATTTTTTGCTTCCTCTTCTCTTTACCCTCTCGTCACCCCTCCCCACTTTCCCCTTTCTGCCTCCACAAAAGCCGCCTCCTTGTTTCTTATCATCTGTTTATTTTGCTCCTTAGATCATTTATATTTTGTTTTCCTATTTAAGAGAAACTATGTGATATTTAACCTTCTGTATCAGATTTATTTCCCTTAGCATTATGGCCTCACGATGCACCCATTTTCCTCCAAACCACTCCACCTTATCCTTCTTGATGGCTGAGTACTACTCCTTTGTGTGGATATACCACATTTTCTTTATTCATTTATCTGTTGATGGAACTATGACCACCTCCAAGATTTAGCTATTATGAGTTGAAGACATCAGTTACATTTGAATTTCAGATAACAAAAACTATGTAGCATTAGCATATACCACACAATATTTAAGATATACTAATATTAAGACATTTATTGTTTATCTGAAATTCAAATTAATTACTTGTTCTAAATTTCATCTGGAAATGCTATGGCTACCACCGCACCCAATAATTTGGGCCTTGGTAGAAATTCATAAGCCCTAAGATCCAGTGGGCCTCCACTTCTCCAGAAAACATTAGAGCACTCTATGAAGAGGAAAGTCGCACAGCTGGGCCTCTGCTAAGACTATTGGGATCCCAATTCTCTAGTTCCTTGTGTTCCTGGGTTAGCTTTGGGGGTCCATGAAGTCCGACCGGAGTGCCTCTAATCTCATTCGCCTTCCGTCAAGTGCATTTGGGAGACAGGGTGAAAGGCGGCTTTTCCAGAAGCTTTGGGACAGTGTGTGGAGACTTCGATGCCGTTTGACCGCGGAACACCAGATGATTAGTGTCCTGCCTGCCTTTCTGGGAGGTGATCTTTGCCCTCTGAGAGCACTGTCCTAATGCTCCCTTGAACACCGCCACGTACACAGACACACCTGTCCAGCTACCCTTACTCTTGCACTGGCAATCCTGGGTTACCTGAAGGATAAGCGTTTCCAAAAGCGTCTCCAGAAAGAAGTGTGAGGACTGAGTCCCGTGTACGCAGGTGTCTCTGGTTCTGGAGTGAGATTTACCTAGACATTCCAAGCCGTGCTTTATGGTACTTCGTCCTCCCTGCGTAACTGCCCTATTAATGACCTCCTAAACAAAGGAGGAGGCTTGGCTGATGGGCTGAGGTCGGCCCTGTGTCAGGCAACTCAAGATTCCTTGCTCCAGCGTAGCAAAATCTGTGCACCAGGGGTTGTTCTAAGAACTCACCTTTATTAGCTAATTTGATATTCATAATAATCCTTAGAAGTATGCACTGTTATTATAGCTGTTTTATAAGTAGAGAAACCGAAACACAGAGAGATAAAGTAATTCCTCTAAAGTCACACAGATGCAAAAATTTTGCTAGGAAATGGGAATTGAGATTTAAATTCAGATACTTCCAGCTCCAGAGCTGTCCCTCTTAACCAGTGGGCCCCAAAGGCCTGCTGTCAAAGGCATCTTCAAGCCCTGGAGGGTGTAATGCATGATAGTGACTTCAGCTTGCCTCAACTGGAAAGCTCAGCTCACACTCTGCCTAGGGTACTCCTGAGCTACATACCCAGCAGCCGGAGTCACAAAGCAAGGCTCTGTCCTTGATGCCAGAGTACAAGGGGTGGCAAACTCACCCTCAGAAGTTCTGGCTTGAATATTTCCCAATCTTCCTGTTCAAGTGATGTATGAGTATTTCCAACATTTGCACATAGTCCCAGTCCAGGGTCAAGACCTCTCTGGTGGTGACTCGAGACGTGTGAAATACCAGGCAGGCCTGTACAGGAGTAGGAGAGTTGGTTGTGCGCATCTCTGGTAAGAAGGCTTGAGTGCAGCCTCAGCCCAGCCTCCCGCCCATTCTGCAACCAAGGCACAGTACGAGGCCCTTTCTGACAGATGTGCTGTGCTCTGATGCACTGCGCCAGAGCAGCTGGACCTGAAGCAAAGCTAACCTGGGCTTCCTGAAGGGCAGCTGTGATTTCCGATCCACACACCTCCAGGACTTCCTGTGGGACTCTGGCCTGCTTTCTGACCCAGTCGTGTCCGTTCTGGAGGGGACAGCTCTATGAGGATGGTACACTGCCCTCCTCGCGTCCCTTCTCTGTCCACTCCAGCCACTTCTGTGGTCTGTTAAAGCACTGCTGTCCAGCCAGACCCCTCTCCGCGGTCCAGTTTGGGGCCCTCAAGTCTGCATGTGCCTTCCCACCCCCGCCAAATAGGTGACAAGAAAACATGTCTGGAACACTTGCATTGCTTTCTTTCCAGAACCTCTTTTCTGTGTGACAACAGTTTTCACCCAAACCATTGTCTTATACCTTGTCTTCGCGGTTCTCTTGGCACTCCTGCAACTAGATAGTACCTTGAACGGTGCACCCTAAGTAGGCGAGCCATATTCTGGCTGGCAACAACCTTTGGAGAGAAGGTTTGAGTACAGAATACCATCTCATTGTCCCCTAAGCGCAATCATGCTGCCCAACTAATGTGCAAGCTAGAAGATTGATAACAAAAATAGCATCAGCAACGACAGCCGACATTTAGCAAGCACTTACTTTGGGCCACGTGCAGCACCGAATGCTTCGTGTATGTTTTCAATTACTTCTCACAGTGACAAAGATATTATTTTATCCCCAATTTATAGCTGAGAAAACTATGCCAAAGGTCACATAAGTAAATGTTCAAGCCAGATTGCAAGTTAATGTTAACAGTGGGCATCCAGCATCTCTGCCCAGCAGTCGTGTACCTACTGATTTCCCCGTGCCTAATCTCCCAACTTTTGTTCTTTCTAATTCTCCAACTACCCACTCCGGCAAAGAGGGGGGATAACCATGAACTGTGTTCCTGAGAGGAAATAGACTCACCAGCTGGATGGTGGAAAAGGATGAGGGCAGGAGTTGTTTTAATGTGATCCTTTGAAATAGACCGTACTGAATGAATAGGAGTTTTCTACAAGCACTTTGCTGTTTTGTTCTCGCAATGATGGATTCTAAACACCTGGCACAGTGCCTAGCTCGTGGTAGGTGCCCAATGAACATTAGCGTAGGCACATAGCTGGTTGGGGTTGGGTTAATTAAGAGTGCAGAGTTTATGAAGGCAGCTATGTGAGTAGCAGGAAAGTGGGTTTGAATAAAGCCAGGTGACAGGATCTGCCTGACCAGAGTACACTGTTTCTTGGCTCTTCTATGTTTCCTTTGCTTGTTTAGTTTTGCTTTTGAGACTGGGTATTGCTATGCAGTTCAGGCTGGCCTTGAACTCACTATGGTGCCCAACCTGGCTTTGAGCTTGCAGTGATCCTCCTGCCTCGGCCTCCCCCCACCCCAGTGGTGGGATCACAGGTGTGCACCAGCATGCCCAGCTCTTTGTTTCCTTTGGCCTCATTCCCACTAACAGGTTCTGTTTGCTCTTCATGTATTTTCTCTACTTCATCCTGCCTTCTTATCACCGGCCTGCCTCCTCATGGCTTTGGTTTGCCATAGGCCTCCACTGTCCCACACTATCATATGCCATCATCTCAGCTCCCGTTTCCATCGCTGACCGCTTCTTTGTACCCACGTTTCCCAACGTGGATCCCAGAAGAGGAAAATCTGATTGACTTAACCCACGTTTTCTCTTCCATCCCTGGTTTTTGGAGAGGCAGCTCTAATGGCGGGGATCAATTCCTGGTCCAGTCAGGAGCCATCCCCAGGTGAAGAACAACCTCGCTGTGCTCTTCAGAGCAGGGGGCCGTGGGTGGGGCAGTTTCATGTAGAAGAGGAAGTTGGGTGTGGCGGGCACTGTGTTGACATAATCCAGTATAGGAGTGCTCCTGGGAGCCCATCTCTCTTCTCTGAAAGAGATAGCTTTGTGGGTTTAGACTTATCAAACATTCCCAGGAGAGCCCAGCCAAATGCAGCTGATAAGCTGGTGAGTTTGGAATTGCTCTTGGCCTCCAGCTCCCTGTTCACATTTCCTTCTGGGACTGCTGTGGTTTTTCAGCTCGTTGGCTTGCTTCTGGATTCTCTCTTCAGCTTAGGTGAGTTGGCTTTTAAGTGGACTGCTTCACTCTTGGGAAAAGGTGAGTGCTTGGATTCCACTTTGGCTCTGGATCATTCTCTCAGCCTGGAAGAAATCATCTGACTTCTTGCTTCCTTGTCCCTTCTTATTCAAACCCACTCTCTCCACGTTGTCACTTACCCAACTGTGCCTTCCTTTTCCAGGCCCACCTACCTCTTCCTGGGGGCATGACATTAAGAAGTGGCTGGTGACTTCAGTGAGAGCAATTTTAGAGGAATGGTCGGGGCAGAAACTAAATAGAAACAAGTTGAGGAAGTGGAAATAGTGAGTGTACGAGATTACTCGTCTCAGATGTGTAGATGAAAAAGAGAGGAAGAAAACAACTATGTGTTAAGAGGTGTTTTTTTTTTTAATTGTTAAAGAATTTGCTGCCAATTATGTAATACAGGCTTTTGTAAAACAGTTTTTTAAAAAACAAAAATCATGGAGAATAACCTTACAGTATCCTACTAAGCCACTAGCCAAATGATTATGGTAGTTACCCATTTGAAGCACCTACTAAATAGAACGATCACACTAATAACTTCAGAGATAGTTTCCATTTCTTATGTAACACCAGGTTCCCTTGAGCCCAAATTTAGACACAGATGCCTGTCATGCAGACAGAATAAGACAATAGCTCTTCCCTCAGGTGAGGAATGGCACCCATTGATTTATAAGGGGGCTGAGAATCTTGCTGGGGAGTATACATATTTTTTATTTCTGTAAAATTTTAGTCCTACACAGAGACATCTAAGGAAATTCCTAGGTGGATGGTTGTTGGAGAGGGAGAGAAAACACAGAGTCTTCTACAGGGGGCAGCCTTTTGAGGAAGGAGTCTACAATGGTAAGACCAGGCTGGCTGTGGTAGGGCAGGCTCGAACCCAGCTCCCCTGGAAATGTCTTCCCAGAAGGAAACAAAGAAGGCCCTCTGTGTAATAAAAAGAACCATTTTGTGAAAATCCGTGATGCTCCAGGGCCCATCACCCCATGGGTCACTAAATGTAACATCGGGAAAAGAGCGTTCCCTTTTTGCTTCCAAAAAAGCTGCAGACAGACATGCCAGGGATCATCACAGACTCAGTTTCCCTCAAAACCAGAACCATGGGGCCAGCAGGAAAGTTTTCTTCCAGCTTGCAGCAAAGTAATAGGAGCCGATTTCAGTAAATTCTGTAATAACACTTTACCTTGAGCACTGATGCTGAAAAAATGGACTCGCTGACTTCCTGTTTTTCAAAAGCATCATTACCTCGGGGAATCACACAGGACGCCACACTGTGACACTGATTTTGGACTTGTAGCTCATAGTGGATGCAAGCTAAGCAGGCTGTCACAGCACAGGATGACAGCGCTGATCTAAGAGCACAGCTGTGACCTGCCCACTCGGGACATGCAAATGTCTCTTCATGAAAAACATTTTTCCAGTAAGACCCCAATAACCCCCTATAAAGCTAAAGACCCCTCCTCATCCTACTCCTTGTTATCATCTACTCTACCATTCTATAGCACTTAAGGCCATTTTGTCTTCTGTGACTTTTCTTATTCCTTCTTCTTTTGTAATCATCTCTTTTTCTATCCTGCTCTGCTTGTTTATCTTCATGTTTCCAAAACCCAGACCACTGTCTGGCGTGGTATATACAATAAAAATAGAGTTAATCCATTTTGTGGGTTTCTCAAAATATATTTGGGGAAGATTAGAAATACTATGATTTTTTGTTTTGTTTTATTTTGGCTTGGGTTCACAGAGGGATCTAGGATATTTGTTTACATTTATAACAACCCTATAACAGCTATGTGCTAATATACCCATTTACAGATGAGGAAACTGGGGATTAGGGTGAAACTGTCTTGTCCCAGACCTCATCTTGACAATTGTCCAGCGTAAGTGTATTTCAAATCAGGAGAAGAAGTACCAGATACATCACCACTTTATTACAAGGGTAAGTCCAAATCAGGGTGGGAAAGCATCAGTGGAGTGAAAGGATTCTGATATGTGATCAGAATATATGGTAAATATTTAAATTTTTAAAAATTTTAGGACCAAAGCCAGTATAAACTGCCATATAGTATGCAAGAAATCCATGAAGGAGGTATTGCTATTACTGAGACAAAAGCCACCCAAAGCCTTAACTGATATGGTAAAAGAAGGAATTGGAAAAAAAAAAAAAGTGATACTTCAGCAGTCTGGGTAGCTGAGAAGATCACAAGTTTGAGCCCAGCCTGGGCAACTTTGCAAGACCTTGTCTCAAAATAAAAATAAAAGAGGTCACCGAAATAAAAAATCAACAAAAATACATGGCAAGATCACAAAAATTTTGTTTTATATTTTCATAAAATAAAAAATTTAAAACATAGCAAGATCGCCCCCCCAAAATTTAGAGATACTAACCCATAAAAATCAAATGAGAATAGCAAGATTTCATCTAAGAGGGGGGTAATTTCAATTCCTTTCAGAAAAGAAGATTGGCTGGTTGAAAACTAAGCAAGAACCAAACAAGTAAAATCAAATCCTTATAGCTTTTAGCAAATCTATGGCAAGATTGTGTTAGTGTTGATTTCATATTTTAACTTCAACTGTAAAGCAGACAAGAATAAAATGCCTTGCAGCAGAAAGAGTCAATACTGAGTGATGATGCAGAGAAGATGCTAGCAATGGTATCTGTAAAATGAATCAGGGAGCAGTGTGAAGCCACAGGAACAGGGGGATTCTTAGAAGTAGGACTCAGGGTTGTTAATCACGAGGCTCCTGGGCAGTGTTAGGGACCCGTGAAACAGGCTCTGTGTTAGAGTGAGAAGATTGGTTCCTACCCTGACTATCGTCGGGAGTGGCAGACTAAACTGGAGTCCTCTGCCGTCTTTGGAGGGTGAGGCAGGGACAGATGACCACCCAGATCCAGGAGGACCAGCTGGGCTGGTCAGCTACCATGGCGAAGGATGGGCAAGGAGACAGGATTAAAGCATGCAACTCTGGAGGTTACGTCCATCAGGAGTCCCAGGTGGTGGGTGGGTGGCAGCCTATCCCTCCGTTCGATCAATATTTACTGAAAGTTTTTTTATATCCCAGGCACCGTGCCAGCCACTGGGCTCGGTGCTGGGAATGGAAATAATAAACTATTTCCTGATTTCTCCCCTCTCTTCTGGAGAAAGAGAGGTCTGAGGTCTGGCTCTCACTGGCCCTGGGACTGGGCAGGACTTGTCTGCAGGAGGCTAACGTCAGCCTGGGCAGCAAGGTCAGGTCAGGGGCAGCTGGACCTGGTTGACCCAATACTTATGCCTGGAACTGCTTTATTATTTCTTCTCCACTTGGCCAAAAACATCTTTGTAAACTAACTGCCTTATGTTTTGTTATAATTAATTCCTAGATACCCAGGTGTGACTTGGGTGGGTCGGGAGTTGATTTGCAGACCTTAAAGAAACAGTGTGTCTAATTTTGCTGGGTTTGACAACTGCCTGGCATAAGTGTATTTCAAATCACTCTGGAGAAGTAGCAGGTACATCACCACTTTATTACAAGGGCAGCTTTAAGTCCACTCAATGGAGTGGAAAGGTTCTGAGGTGTGATCAAAA